GAGTTGATGCTTTTGTGTTGTGGTGCTGGCGAAGAATGCTGAAAGTACCATGGACTGCTAAAAGAACTAACAGATCTGTCCTGGAGGAAGTGCAGCTGAAATGCTCCTTGGAAGTGAGGATGGCGAGACTTCATCTCACCTACTTTGGTCATATTGTCAAAAGGGACCATTCCTTGGAGAAGAATGTCATGCTTGGTAAGAAGGAGGGTCGACGAAAGAAGAGAAGCCTTCTGCGAAATGAATTGACACAGTGGCTGCAACAATGGCCTCAAGTGTAGCAAGAGTCATGGAGCCGGCGAGCAATCGGGTGGTGTTTTGTTCTGCCATACATGGGGTCGCTATGAGTCAGCAATGACTCAACAGCACCTAACAAAGATAACAATCTTGTAGACTAAGTCATTATGTAGATCAAATGAAAAATGTGTGTGTGTGTGGGGGGGTGGGGGGGTGGGTGTGTCTATCCACATAGTTCTAATTCTCTTTACAGATTCTTATCTTGTCATGGAATGTTTTGGGGTACAAAGTGCATAGATCCAAGAAATCATTTCCAATAACAAAGCTAACAATTTCTGTGTGATTTTAGTCATGTCTTCCTATACATTAAGTAGGCCAATCTACAAGTTATTTTGAAATTAAGAATGATAACATATTGTATGTTGTTGTTAGGTGCTGTTGAATTGGCAACTCAATGTACTGCTTAACAAAACACTGCTCAATCCTGCACCATCCTCATGATCATTGTTCTGTTTCAGTCCATTGTTGCATCCACGATGCCAGTCCATCTTATTAAAGGTCTTCCTATTTTTTGATGACTACTTATTTTACCAAGCCTTAGACCCTTCTCCAAAGAGTGATCCCTCCAATAGTAAATAAGTATATACAAGGATGATAGTGCTATTATCTGAAGTTATATGAGAGACAGGCAAATGAAGTCACTCATGGAACTTATTATGGTTTTATTTTGCATTTCCCTAATGACTAATGGTGATGGGCATCTTAGAAGCTCTGGTAGCATAGTGCCTAAGGCATTTGACTGCTAACCAGAAGGCTGGTGGTTGAAATCCACCAGCCACTCCTTGGAAGGAAGATTGGGAGATCTACTTCCATAGTGATACCACCTCGGAAACCCAAGGAAGCATTGCTATGACTCAGACTCGACTCCACGGCAGTGTGTTTGTTTGTTTTTTATTGGCTATTTGTATTTGTTCTTTGGATAAATGCCTATTCAAATACTTTGCCTATTTTTAATTAGATTATTTGCCTTTTGTTATTGAATTTTATTGCTTTATATATTCTAGATATTAAACCCTTATCTGATATCTGGTTACCAAACATTTCCTCCCATCCTCTAGGTTGTCTTCTCACTTTCTATCACATGAAGCAAGTAAAAAAGTTTTTCATTTTGATGAAGTCTAATTTATCTATTTCTGTTTTGCAGCTATTTTTTGGTGTCATATGTAAGAATAAATTATTTGAACAAACAAACAAACAAAAATCTTGAAGCTTTACCCATATACTTTTTTCTGAGAGTGTTAAGGTTTTGGTTCTTATATATAGGTCACTGATATATTTTGTGTTAATTTTCATACATCGTGTGATGTGTGAATTCAATTTCATTCATTTGTACATGCAGATCCAGTTGCCCTAGCACTGGAAAAAAATTATTCTTTTTGTTACTGTTGACGAGACTATTATTTCCCTCATTGAATTGTCTTAGAACCCTTGTCAAAATGAGATTTTGATACATGTTCGGGTTTATTTCTGTATTCTTGATTCTTTTCTATTGATCTATATGCTTATCCTTATACCAGTACCAGTTTGTATTGATTACTGGGACTAACTTTTTTTTTTTTTGGTCTTATAATTTTTTTTCCAACAGCTTGCCTAATTTACAGTCAGCATCTATATAATCCTAAGTATTTGGTGCAGAATGTGAGAAACAGATCCTGGAACCAAGATGTCTAGTGAACCCCAACTCTTTAAAACTTTTGGAAGGATTTCATACAATGACAAAAGCTCCAAGAACAAGATCTCCAAATTAAAGCAAAAGTTGAAGAGGTAAGTTGATATACCCATTGATATTGTTCCCTCTCCTTTCCCATCTAATGTCTATTATTCTGGGAGAGCCAAGGTTGAAAGAAGGCTAATAAGTGTTGCTAGGAAGAGGGGTTTCTTGTAATCTTTAGAAGTCTTGGTTAAAAAAAAAAAAAAAAATCAACACCTTATGACAGGTTTGAGGCTTTGCATAATCCATATCCCATGTGGCTCTCTAGTTGATTAAGTAATACAAAATTTCTGAAGATACCAGAAACTGAGGGTTTTTTATTCTGTTATTTTATATTATGCCAGGTCATATAATGGTCACAAATACTTGACACTGATAAGATTTTGTTCATGGTAGATTTATTCTGTAAGATATTCTCTTACTTTATCAGTACTCCAGATTCCTCTGAGCCCCAATACTCATGTGGTACTCAGCTTAAATGAAATAGCAAAAGTCATATGTGTTTTTGAGCCACAGAGATTTGATATTAAATCCTGCCTCTATTACTTGATCTTGAAAGGAGACCAGGAAGCAAACCAGCAGCAGTTTGGAACAAGAAGCAAGCTATGGGTATTTGGAACAGCTAAGGAAGAATAGGAAGCAAGACATCAGTGGTTTGCAACAGCTAAGGGAGACCAGGAAGTGAGATGGTAGCAGTTTGGAAAAGGTAAGGGGGACCAGGAAGAGAGTGGAGCTATTTGGAACAGCTAAGGGAGATGAACTTGTCTGTCAGTTTGTCGAACTGCTGTGGCTTGCATATTGCTGTGAGGTTGGAGGCTATGCCACTGGTGTTTCAAATGCTAGCAGGGTTACCCATGGTGCACAGGTTTCAGTGGAGAATCCAGACTAAGACAGACTGGGATAGAGTAAAGCTTCTGGGGCCTCCATTTGCTGATGTGGCATGACTCAAAATGAGATGAAACAGCTGCAAACATCCATTAATAATCGGAACATGGAATGTATGAAATAAGAATCTAGGAAAAATGGAAGTTGTCAGAAATGAAATGGAACATATAAAGATCAATATCCTAGGCATTAGTGAGCTGAAATGGACTTGTTTTGGCCATTTTGAATCAGACAATCATATAACCTACTGTGCCAGTGTGGTAGTTAAGTTTGTGTGTCAACTTGGCTGGGCATGGTTGAGTGGCTGGGCAGCTGGAAGTAGTTATTCTCCATGGTGAGATTGGTAATTAACTCCATGGTGGCATCTATTGGAGCAGCTCAGTATCTTCTTTAGGGATGTGGTCTGCTTCCCGTATATAAGAAGCAGCTTTGGGAATGGGCTTTAGTTTATGGCACACTTGAACCCTACATGTAACTGAGTCATTGTTTAGTAGACTGGCATGCTCTGCTGATCTTGGGACTTTCATAGACTTGAATCAATGCCCTGCAATATGGTTTGGTAATATCAGGACTGTGCCTTTTCACGTGTCAACCTTAGATTTGTCAGCACCAGCAACCAGCAGCTGTCTGAGTGAAGAGATGCCTCTAGCTTCAGTGGGCCAGGAGCAAGAGACAGAGATGAAGCTCAAGGCCAAGGGGCTTTCACCCTGCCCCTAGAGCTTGGCAATTTGAACTAGGACTCTAGCCTTCAAACTGTAAGAGAATAAAGTCCTGTTTGTTAAAGCCATCACATTTGTGGTACATTTCTGTCAGAGTAACACTAGAGGTAACCAAAACAGTATATGGAACCAGGAAAGCGTGGCACTCATCATCACAAAGAAAGTTTCAAGATCTATCCTGAAGTACAATGCTGTCAGTGATAAGATGATGTCCATTCACCTACAAGGAAAACCAGTTAATACTACTATTATTCAAATTACACACCAATCACCAAAGCCAAAGATGAGGAAATTGAAGATTTTTACCAACTTCTGCAGTCTGAAATTGACAGAACATGCAATTAAGATGTGTTAATTATCACTGGTGATTGGAGTGCAAAACTTAGAAGCAAAGAACAATCACCAGTAATTGGAAAATATGGCCTTTGTGATAGAAATAATTCTGGAGATCGCATGATAAAATTTTGCAAGACCAACAACCTATTCATTGCAAATACCTTTTTTCAACAACACAAATGGCAGCTATGCATGTGGACTTAACCAGATGGAGTACACAAGAATCACATTGACTACATCTATGGAAAGAGGCAAAGGAGAAGCTTAATATCTTCAGTCAAAACAAGGCCAGGAGCTGATTGT